ATTTGCCCAACAATATATATTAAATAATTCTTTTATATACAAATAAAATCCATAAAACACATATCAAGTCTTACAAACTCTAATCCAAACCAAATTAAACTACTACACAACAAGAATGCTAATCACAAGGGTTTATGAGATAAAGAATAAAGAGAAACAAACTTCTTCCTCAGTTTGCTTGCACTTCTAAGCTTGCAATTGCTTGAACAAGTTTCCGTCCTTTCTGCATCACCAATTAAAGCATAGACAACAACAGTTGAACAAATCTAAAGTGCCTCCATAGAACCAGTTATACATCAAATTAGAGAACACTTACAGAAATTTCAGAATGCTTGGCAGTTTGTCCTGCCACTTATGGGTCTAGAGAAGAAGTTGATGCCCAAACAAAAAGAAAACATAAAGTGAGAAGAGAAACCAGAAAATATGGAAGTCGTTAGATACAAAATTGATAAAACCTGAAGTCCATGATTGCAAGGACACTTTTGATGTTAGTTAAGCTGCAAAAACACAGTCAAAAGTAGTTACACTCATAGTCATTCCAATTTGCTAACAAACAAACAAAAACAGTATTAGCAATCATTCATGACTAAGTGTAACTATGTTTGCTAAAAACACTCAAGATATGATGACCAAATCTTGTTCACCGTCTAAACACATCATATGTGGCTTATAAACTGATCTATGTATGCCAAATAAATTAAGCAATTACTATACACAACCTAAGTCCATGTCAAAAACGAAGTAGAACCAGCTAAGATGTTAGAAAAGATGAAATAACCTGAGTAATACTTCCTTGTTCTCTGTTCCATCAAAGCCGAGTACAAACACGAGTACCTCTTTGGAAGAACAATGTCGAATTTGGGAAGTTATATGTAGTAAAGGAAATTCTTTTATGTGATATGAGTCTAAAACATATCTGAACCCAGAAAGCGAAGCGATTTCCATTATAAGCTCTTACTTAGTTCTGCAAGCGGTAAGGAATTGTGAGAAATCAATCAATCGGATCAGGGAAAGATAAATGAGATTTGAGGGCTGAAAAAAAGAGTAAAAACCAATGTGTGGTGTTTGGAGTATTGCAATTACAGTAAGAGAATAATTAAACACAAATGAAGAGCAACAAATGATTGATAACAAGAAGATTCTCTTACACAATATGAAGAGATTTACCACCATTTCATTGTCTGCTTTCTCAACAACAAGATTCATGAACTGGTCAAACCTACAAAGAATTCCAACAACCATCGTGTAAGCATTAAGCTTGGCTGCATTTCAAATAACAATTGATCAATCTAAAGACACAGAACAAGGTGATAGTCTAATAAAGAAACTCCAACTAGACACCACTCTTGCTGAAAATGAAACAATACAAATATATCTACTCCACCAAGCAAACAATACGAGATTCTTCAAACAAACAGAGCCATGTCTATCTTTCACAGAATACAAAATCCCAGCAATCGGCATATTAAATTCCCTGAGACATGCACATAGTATCAATCCCATGTCTATCTTTCAGAGATATGTGAGGTAGTTGCAATCAAACTAAATCACAAAGAAGAGTATAGATGAAACAAAAAAATTTCTAAATAGATGTAGATGAAGATATCAAACTTACTTCTCTTATTATCCATATACCTGCATCAAATGAAACAAATATC